GAGCATTGCCAGCAGATCAATGGAAGTGATTATTCCCCTCTATTCGGCACCGGCGAGGCCACACCTGGAGTATTGTGTCCAGTTTTGGTCCCCACACTACAGAAGGAATGTGGACAAATTGGAGAGAATCCAGCGGAGGGCAACGAAATGATTAGGGGGCTGGGGCACATGACTTACAAGGAGAGGCTGAGGGAACTGGGGTTATTTAGTCTGCAGAAGAGAAGAGTGAGGAGGGATTTGATAGCAGCCTTCAACTACCTGAAGGGGGGTTCCAAAGAGGATGGAGCTTGGCTGTTCTCAGTGGTGGCAGATGACAGAACAAGAAGCAATGATCTCAAGTTGCAGTGGGGGAGGTCTAGGTTGGGTATTAGGAAACACTATTTCACTAGGAGGATGGGGAAGCACTGGAATGGGTTACCTAGGGAGGTGGTGGAATCTCCATCCTTAGAGGTTTTTAAGGCCCGGCTTGACAAAGCCCTGGCTGGGATGATTTAATTGGTGTTAGTCCTGCTTTGAGCAGGGGATTGGCCTCGATGACCTCCTGAGGTCTCTTCCAACCCTAATATTCTATGATTCTAACGACAGCTTCAGAGCCCAATTCCCTGTTGCTCTATTCCTCAGGTAGGTACAGGAATAGTGGAGGAGACAAGGGGGCTTTATGCCACCTTTGCACTTCCTGCATTCCTGACCCTGCTGGTATATAAATTAGAGCAGACCTGAAGCTGTTCTAATTCACACTCTGCTGCAAAAGCCCTCTTTGGGCAGTGGCAACAGCCAAGGATAGCCAGAATTCAGCATGCTCTAGCTATGCCCTTTCCCTCCCACACCCAGCACACCTCCTATATCATGGTCTGGGAAGAGAGTGACATAGAGTTCTGCATCGAGCAAGGAACCCCCCAACACAGAGGATATTCCCCAAGGGACAGTTCTGCCCACTATACATTTCCTTTATTATGCTGCAGTAGAACGGAGAATTGGGCCCCATCAGTCCTTCACTCTGCAGTATCTATCTATAAATCTATGTACAGTATCTGCCTGTATTCCTGTCTCTTTATGTATTTATATCCTCCCATCATTGTAGTATCTGAGCACTTTTATACTTGTCAAGATATTTCAGTTTAACTTTCAGATCAGTGGTGTACAAATACACATTTTGTGTATACATGCTTATATGAAAAAACAGCTTCAGAGTGGTTTTGAAGAGTACTTCCAATACTTAGAGCAAATATTTAGAGTTGGTCAGAAAGTGTATTTTTTTTTCTTAGACAGTTCTGATGAAAATGAAAAAAAATTGGTGAAATTATCTGCAGAGAAGTTGAACTTTAAAAAAAACTTGAAATTTTCCATAGAAAGCACTTTCTTTTCATGAATTTTTTTTTGAAAAACAGCTTTGAAGAAAAATATTCAACAAGTCCTACAAATAATACTTTAACCACATTAAGAAAGTTTGAGGATAGGTTTTATGATGAATGAAAATAACTATACTGCTTAAAAGATATAATAATACAAGAAATATTTTAAAATACACACAATTACTACATTATAAATGAATTTACTGAGAACCAGTTTGAGTTACTAAAATAAGTAACTTTTCTGATTGTATTTGTTTACAAAGCAAAAAGTACATCTGTTAATCTGTAAATTCCTCTAATCCTGCTTTAGTAGTGCGATGAACTTGATGAGCTATTTTGCTTTTTCCATCTCTAACTTCTGTGATTATTGAGAAAATAATTGATCATATAAAAGTCTCTAAATTAATGTAAATATTCAAACGTGAAAAAGCTCTTACCTGTGTATCTAAAGCTGTAGAAAAAACTGTATGGTATAATGTATTATTTGAGAAATATAACATGATCATCTAATTAAAAATTGTATTGCATTTGTAGAGAGGGGAAGATTTAAGGTTATTGGCTGAATCTTCACTTTGGTATTTCCTGAATGTTGAGGGATTATTTAAATTCATAGTCTTAACATAACACTAACTGAAGTTCTTATATCTTAATTTCCCTGGTTTATTTTTCTTCTGGAACAAAACAAAACAAGGCACATCCAGATTTATCAGGTTAGAAAGTCGTAGGATTTTCACATGAGAAAAAAGCAGGGGGAAAAAGCACACAATGAAAATCAGATATGGTGCTGGGAGTGTACAAGTGGAAGTTGTGGTTACAAACCTAGCAGACTCCTCTCAGGTTAGGCTTAAAAGCACTGAAGGTCAGTAGAGCCCTAATGGTGTTCCTGTGGCCATGTTCCGCATTTATTTTGACTATCAACTTGACAAGCAGGGATCCCTCTTTCCTTTACAAAGTCATTATGCAATTATGGTTGGCCTTTGTCTTCCAGAAAACAAGAGATATAGTGGTAGCCATTTTAAGTCAGTATTTACTAGCAGTTATCACGCTACAGTCTGAGATGCAGCTAGATTAAGTGTTGTATTTCTGATGCCACTGCATATAACTGTTGGTAAATCCTTGCTTGGTAATGGAAACCATTTTCTGTCCTGTTGAATTATCTGTTAGCTTTCAACTTATTAGAAAAACGGAAAGTTTGCCCATTTTAAAATTTTAATCAGTTATATATCATGAGGTCCCTAAAGACTCACCATGCTCCACATTTAGGGCCCAATCCACAGTTTGAGAAACACGGAGTATATGATGAGATCTCCAGAACTTTTAATGACCGCAGAGATGATTTTTAAAACTTAGATTTATGTGTGTGAGGGTCCATAACTAATTAGTCCATCAGGAAGAAATACAGGTACAGAGAGGAGTATGGATTCTGTGATGAAGTTAATTAGGTTAAGGGCAGTGGACGGGACAGGGTTGTATATAACAAAACTGTTACTGTTGGAAGTGATGGAAATAAGAGATCATTATTACAAATAAGGATGGATAGGCCTGGTAGTATCAAGACATTTGAGATAGTGGTGAGGCAGGAAAATAATCCTCTGAAGGTTGAAGGATAGAGGCTTTATCATAAGCAAGGAGAGAATGGTACAAGTTAGACTGTAGATGAAATACGAAAGGGGAAAGAGAAAGTTACTTATGATGAGAGCAAGAATATGGCCATGCATTGGGTTGGGTGAGATGATAAATTAAGACTGAGGGAGGCAAGGATAGAGAATAAGAAGATGGAGCACAGAGGTTCAATGGCCTCATCAGCCCATACTCTAAAATCACTTAAAGAGAAAACCAGAGAAGACACCAGTGAGGGGGAGAAAAGAGGTCAGATTTGAGGTGTGAAGAAATAAACCACAAAGAGTTTGGATTAGAGAGCATGAGAAGTCTGAAAGGAGAAATGGGCTCAGAAAAGAGTGTGCAAAACTGAAATTCAACCTTAGCTGTGCCTGCAACACCTCTATCATGATTAAGGTAGGGCACAAATGCTGTTTCATGGGGTATGCAAGGAAACTCCTGAAGGAGGCCAAATTTCATTTTCAGGTACACATGTATTCTGTCTAAAAAAATCATTGGGGAAGGAGGGAATGTTCCATAGTTGCCAATCCTGCAGGCTCAGCCTGGGATCTGAGAGTCAAATTGGGCCCTTTCCCTCTAACCCACTGTGACCGGTAATAATGGTTCTACAGGCCAAATTCATTTCTCAGTGACTTCTGTGCAGCTCCATTGGCCTTCAACTAGTAACTGATTAGAAGAACTTGGTAAACAATTCTCTTGATACACAAGAAGAACCGGTTCCCGTCTCTGAGCAGTGTTGGCTCTGCTGAACTAACCGATGTAGAATATAGTAAAGTGTAACTCAAGACCAGCAGCTAGGACTCTGGATAACACAGGGGACAGGTCTGTGAGCATAAAGCAGCCAATATTTTAGTCTCTTTTCAGAGTAAAACCACACTGTAAAAGCCCAATGTTGTGAGCTCTCCTGGTTCATGAGCATCAGGGGCACTGTGTGAGGCAGTGCAGTGCACGGCCAGGGGTACTTGGGATTGTCCTTTCTCTATGTGAAATAACTGCTCCTGGACCTGTAGCTCAATTAAGAGACAGTACCTGTGACCAGACCCACCCCATGGGATCCAGCTGCTGCTGCCGCCTCTGGCCACCAGAGAGTCTTTCTTTTAATTGGATCCAGTTTAGACGTGTAGTTACCGAGACAGCTTCCTGAGGCTGCAATGCCATCCACTTGCTTGTTCCTGCTCTCTGGTTCTCTCTCTCCAGTCTCCATCAATCACCCGGAATGATCGTCCTCTTTCCTTCCTCCTTGACCATCCCTTTCCTCTGGCTGTTCTCTTTCTCAGTTTTCTCTCCAGCCCTCCTCCTTCCTCTTTTCTATCTCCCCCACCCCCGCCCTTCTCACCTGTTCTGCCCTCCCCCCTTTGCTGCCTTCTCACCTCATCTCTTTCCTCCTGTCTCCCTTGCACACCCTCCCCGTCTCTCCCACTGCCCCCGTTGGTGATTCATACCACGGCTGTGCAGTGCAGCTCCACGGCGTTGTCTGGGCCCAGCCCTCACAGTGCTGCAGCTTGATTAGCAAATGAGCTTTGGAGATGGGATGCTCTGGACAGATGGAAGCGTGTGACAAGCCGCATCTCCCTCCCTCGCTCAGGGGGCGGACGGTGCGGGAGCCTTGGCCCTCTCCCAGCAATCGTTTATCTGCCCCCCTCTTCCCCTTGGCGTGCTGCTTGTGACTATGTGTGTATGGAGGGCACTGCATTGCCCGGGTTCTGACCTCACGCCACTTGCCCCCGCCCTGTGTCACTTTCTCTTCAGTGCCTCTCTCTTTTCCTCTCCCCCTGCTCCGCATCTCTCCTTGGCTTCTGTCTCTCTTCCCTCCCTCCAGCGCCTCTTAGCCCCAGGTGAACTGAGCTTGTCAGGATGTTCTCAGTGTAACGGCTCGCTCCACATTTACTCCTGGTGGGTGACGGCTTGGCCTCTCCGGCCAGCTGCCCTGCTCCCAGACGCACCCGTCCCCGTCCCTCTCCCCCCCTCCCTCGCTGCCTCGGTCCGTCTGTCTCTCTCAGCCTCAAAATGGCCCCGTCCCTGGGAGTTCTCCCTCTCCATTGCTCCCTTTGTCTTCTGTTGGGAACGCGAATTGCTCCTTCCAGCGCTCATCTCTCCTCGCCTGCTTCCCGCCTTCCCCGCGGTCCCAGGGCCAGGCAGCCTCTCCAGCCCGGCTGCCAGCGGGTGGGTGTGTGCGGACGGCGCTTTCGGCATCGTGCGGGCTCCTTGCTCCCTCTTCCCTGCCTCCTGCAGCCGCGGCGCGGGATCAGCCAATGGCAGCCCGGCGCTCGGGACCTGAGCTGTTTACCCAATCTCAGCCCTCCTCCTCCTCCTCCTCCTCCTCTGAAGATCCTTGTAGCATCCAAGCCTGGAATAGCGAGCGAGGGGGGAGAGCGGAGCGAGGGAAAGAGACAGGAACGCAGAGGGAGCAGAGGGAGAGGAGGCAGCCCTGTGGCAGGCGAGGTGTGGCTGGTTAGAGCATCTTGGCCGGAGGGCCTGGACCGGAGCATCTCCTGCCTCCTGCCCTGCCTCTCCTCCGGGCTGTCTCTCCGGGGCGGGTAAGGCGCGCTTACCCCGGACCATGCCCCTCCGCCGGCACAGGCTGGGCCACACTGGACATTCACCATAACTGGAGCTCCCCCCCCCCCACACACACACACACACCTTCTCCCACTTCCATCCTCCTCACTGCTGCGGCTGCTGCCTCCTCCGCGGGGACCTGCTAGAGTGATGGGCTGCATAGGATCCAGGACTGTAGGTAAGGAGCCGGGGAGGGTGGTGGGAAGTAGGCTCCAGGAAGCTGCTGCTGCTGCTCAGCTCTCTGGCTGCCTTTCCCTTTGCATGTAGCCATCCTTCCGTGGCTGAAGGGGGGTGGACAGGTAAAGGACTTTTCTGCCCCGGTCTCTCTCTCCCTGCCCCCAGTGTCTCAAAGCCATTGGGTGTGAACGGTGCTTTACAGCTCCCTGTTCTTTGCTGGGCACCGTGCTCTTCCTGCTGCAGGGCGAGCCCCCGCGGTGCGGCTCAGGGGATCCCGAGGTGCGGGCATGCTCCTGAGAGGGGGGAGGGCTCTGAGACCTGAATCAGGGGCCAGCCGCACCTTCTCCTTCTCCTAATGGGAGGGTTATTGTTATGATCGGACTATCCATATCACTGCAGTGAGAGCTGCACATCTCCCCCCACCCCGCCTCATCGGAGAATAACAACACCCAGAGAGTCCCTCCCACTGCACAGAGACATACCAAGGAAACCCCCTTCTGTTGTGCACCCACTTCGCAGCCTCTGTGACAAACCCCATCCTGCCAAGGGCCCCCCTCACTAAACGTACGCTTGGGCACATCGCCTCAGAATAACACATCTCACATGACCTGAAGAAAAGCTCTGTGTAGCTCAAACGCTGGTCTCTTTCACCAACAGAAGGGGATCTATTAACAGATACGATCTCACCAACCTTGTCTCTCACACATCCCCTGGGACACTGTCCACCCATCCACCTCTGCAGCCCACACTCTCACACACCACCCCAAGGATATATGTCACACACACACCTCATCCAGCTCACCAGTACCTCCCACCCTAAAACCTTTCCCAAACTACATAAACCCTGTACAACCCCCTGAGAGCAGAACCAATCACCACCGCTGTGGGAGGCATTGAACCACTTCCCCCAAAAAGCACACCGAGGGAAGACTTTTCAAAAGATGTGTTCCTCTCCCTGTGACACCTGTGCCTGATCGGAGGATAAGAAACCCAGCTTTCCCCTGCTGCTGAGCACCTCCCCCTCCCTCTACGCATCAAGAGAACACTCCTGGGAACATCTTCTCACTATGTCACCAATGTACCCTCAGAGTAACAAGCATACACCCTTACCTAAAGATTCTACCCCACATCCACCCTTCATCTCCCACCACATCCAGCAAGAAAGTACTGTCCTCTCTAATACCTCACAACATCAGAGAACACCAAACACTTCCTCTAGGATACTTCTTTCCCAGCATGATGGCACCTGGACCCTTTCCCTGTAGCAAGTCAGCCACACGGCCCTCCCTCACACCTCATTCCCCCAGGCTGAGTGAGCACTGTGCCAAAGACATTATTTATCTATCCTGCCATGTTGCCTTATCAGTGTGGTCTCTGAACTAAACGTATCTGATCCCCCCCCCCATCACACACCCCCATCAGAAAATAACAAACAACTTCAGTGACACCCACTCCCAGTTGGCTAGAACTGTCTTGAGCTGCTCATCTTTACCCACACCGATTTTTTTTTTAAACATAGGACTACATTTTTATGACTGGAGGCCTGAATTCTGCATTGCAAAAAGTCTGTGTAACTGGTCACCTGCATTTGCAGCTAACAATGTGTGGACATGGTTGTTTAGGTGACTAAATGTCCATCTGTCCACCTGATGACGGTAACTAATTGCAACTTGCATGTGCAAGTGCACCTATACCATAACTTTTAAAAATAGGGTCCACAATGAAAATAAGAGATCTACTAATAATGTTAGCTGAAGAAATTTGCCTTTAGCTCATATGATAGAGACCTGTGTTTTGGGAGCTGTAGAGCCAGGGTTCTAGTGTGTATGTGTGAGAGAGAGGAGAGAGAGAGAGAGAGATCTGCCTAGTAATTGTGTCTGATGCCTACCACCTGTGCCCACTGTTCCCAGCTCTGGCTCATCAGTGACCATAGCTCTCTGGAGTGCTGGGTCAGGGAGCTAGAGACTGCGCAGAGGTGGTGGGAAAAGTGGGGAAGTTTGTCTGGAGGAATTCTGCTGGGAGTGGAGAATCTGTGCTATTCAATCTTATAGGCTCCCATTATGAAGCTTCCTCAGGACTGTGAAGATGGCCTGTGTAGGAAATTAATGCCTTTAAATACCAGGTCAGAGAGGTATAGGCCTCTGAGCTGCAAGACATGGTTGTGATCTTAGCCCCTGACATGATGTGTCACTGAGACACTTTGATTAAAACACTAGAACTATATAAAATGAACATGGCATACATTAAATGGATTAAAAGCTGGCTAACTGATAGGACTCAAATGTGAACAAGGAATCATCAGTGTGTGTGTGTGTTTGTTTGTAGTGCGGTCCCGCTGGGATTAGTTCTTAGTTCTACACTATTTAACATTTTTATCAATGACCTGGAAGAAAACATAAAAAACCGTCACAGAAAAAGTTTGCAGATGACACAAAAATTGGGGAAGAGGTCACTGGCTCACTTGGTACACTGCCTGCAAGCAAACAATATGCATTTTGCTATGGCTAAATGTAAATGTATACACTGAGGAACAAAATATGTAGACCATAATTTCAGGACTCTAATTTGGGAAGCATTGACTCTGAAAATGATTTGTGGGTCCTGGTGGATAAACAGCTGAACATGCACTCTCAGTGCTACTCTATGGTGAAAAGGGCTAATGCAATCCTGGAGTGCATAAACAGGGGAATCTCGAGTAGGAGTAGAGAGGTTATATTTCCTCTGTATTTGGCATTGAAGTGACTGTTGCTGGATAACTGTGTCCAGTTCTGGTGTCCACAATTCAAGAAGAATGTTGATAAATTGTAGAGTGTTCAGAGAAGAGCCACAAGAATGATTAAAGGATTGGACAACATCCCTTCAAGTGACAAACTCAAGGAGCTCAATCTATTTAGCTTAGCAAAGAGATGGTTAAGGGGTGAGTTGATTACCATCTATAAGTATGTATATGGGGAATAAATATTTGATAATGGATCTTCAGTCTAGCATAGAAAGATATAACATTATCCAATGGTTGGAAGTTGAAACTAGAAATATTCAGACTAGAAATAAGGTGTACATTTTTAACAGTGAGAGCAATTATCCAGTGGAACAATTTAACAAGAGTTATGGTGGGTTCTCCATCACTTACAATTTTAAAATCAAGAGTGGATATTTGTCTAAAAGATCTGCTCTAGGAATTTTTTCAGGGAAGTTCTATGGCCTGTGTTATACCAGAGGTCAGACTAGATGATCACAATGGTCCCTTCTGGACTTGGAATCTATGAATCTTGCTGGCCTGTTTCTTGCAGAATTGATTTAATATGGGGTCTACATGTTCCATCACTCAAATCAAGTGGTTGTAGGGCTAGAAGAGGGGGCAATGATACTGTACTGGTTGTATCTCTGAATTTGAATGGTTTTCAACTCAGGACTTTGGATTATGGAAGTTAGTGATAGAAAAGATCTAGTAAATCACATTTAGTCCCTCATACACCACTGCTGGATTTTTTCCTAGGATTGCTCCAGGGCTTTGTCCATTTTTAAGCAATCCAAGTGGTTTCTATCACATAGTTATTTCTTATTTGTATTACCATAACACCTAGGAGCCTTAGTGATGGATCAGGAGCCCCATTGTACTAGGGGCTATACAAACCCCAAATTAAAAAAAAAACAACAGTAGTTCCTGTCAGGATTTAAATGGAATTGATTTAAATCATGAGTCAGGAAGACTTGATTTAATCATGGATTTCTACATAAAAGTGCAGTCTTGTTGGTTGTTATAACCTTAATACCTATTCTTCACAACTCAGAGATAGATGTAGGTTTCATTTTTAGAAGGTACACATTATACATTTTTAAGTGATTTATTTTGAAAACATTTCAGATTAGTTTTACAGCTATATCAGAAAATGAATGATTGCTTGGTTATTTCATTTACCAAAGGTAATTGAAGCAGATATTTATGAAGTCATTGGGAGGTGAACTATCAATATTTGGAGGATTTTCTTGCCATGCTGTCTTAGGAGGAGAACACCATCAGACAGACATTTAAATTGTTTAATTTAACTAAAACAACAACGTTATGTATTCTGGATTTTTTTCTTCAAACATAATATTTTAACAAAACAAGCATATGAATTTTTGAATTTAGTTATATATTCAAGTTTTTTAAAATCAGGTTTGTTTTTGTTAAAAACAAGTTTAACTAAGGTTTCAGAGTTAATGAAATATTTAAAAAACAAAACAAAAATTAAATCAACTATGTCAGCCAGGTCAACATTAGAAACTTAAACTATTGGCTTCTGAAGCTAACTCAGTCATCTTCACCTTCATTTTCCTGATTGTTCATAATCTGGACAAGAAAAACAAGCTTTCCTGCTTTTTCAGGTTCCAAACGATTTCTCAATTTGAATGAATTAATCCAAAGGAAGAAAATATTCTTTCTACACTGGCAGAAGAAGTGAGATCATCACTTCAACAGTCTCTGAATCCAAATGCTTAAGTGACTTCCATCAGTTCACTGGTGTGACTTTCTTTAAAGCGTCATCAGCAAACATATATTTCTTGAATGGTACACCATTAGCTCTGAGTTTATTATAGTTGGCATTATGGGGGGATGATTGCTAGATGTCCTTGTCATAGCCAACTCCTCTTCTTCAGCAGTTTAAGGTTTGACCCTGGGACTGAGTATTGAGAATATTTGCAAGAAAATGAGCTGGAGATAGTACTTGTCCCATTTGTTTTTGTAATGCTTGTAATTTGACTCTGTCATTGCATATTTCTCTTTTTAAGATCTCTCAGTTCCTTTCAAATTTCAACAGTATCAGCAATAAAACAGCTATTTCCCTGCATTTTGTTCAAGGCTGCAGAAATAGGCTTCAGGGTACTCGGCCTGTGTTCAACATTTCTCTTAAGCCCAATGTTGAGAACTTTGGCTGTGACAGTGCCATCTATTTTTTCCACGATTTTGTTCACAAACTGTCATCAGATTAGGCCAGTTCTTGATATAGTGTTCAAAAC